ACATGTTCCAGAAAGAGGCGAAAGAGACGAAGCCCGATGAATTGCCGTTGTTTGGGAAAGAGTTTGTGAACTCCTTACAATTTCTGAAGATGGCGTCTGTGTATATTGGCAACTATGAAACGTATTTGAGTCGAATTAGTGAGATGCTAGCACATGATGCGAGTTATGAAAAAGCGATAAGGAAGGCGAAAGACAAGGTCTTGCATGACAAAAGGTTTGACAATATTATTATGATCCATCCTTTATCCTTCTACCTTATAACTCCAATTCAGCGCATTCCACGATATGAGTTGTTAATCAGAGATATGCTGCGTGATGTTGGAAAGGACTTCCCAGACTTGGAACAACTCAAGAAGGCCTACATCCAAGCAAAAGAAAGTGCAAAGGGCGTCAATGTCCTTAAGATGCAATTAGAAGAGAATGACAAGATGAGTATGGTAAGAGAGATGATAAAGGGGAAACTGCGGATGGGGGTGAGTGTGACACGGAAATTTGTGTGTTGTGGAGGGGTCTATGTGATAGAGAACATGAACACGCCACCAAATAAAATGGTGTTTCTTTTCTTATTTAATGATGTTTTGTTGGAGACTATACCGACCAAAATCGACGGTCGGCCTGTGGAGTTTGTGAATGTCGAAAGCTACAAAAAGGCGTTTGAGAGTCTTTCTACAAAAACTGATATCAAAAGTTTTGATGGGTGCGAGTTTGAATTATTAAGAGAGTTTCCATTCACTTTTGGGAATTGCGTCTTCAAGCCTATTAATGAGACCAATGAAGTCAAACATGTCTTCTCTGCGTTGTTGAGAGAATATAAAGTGATTCGAAATGTTGAGAAGGACTTTCCGATATTAGTGAAATACGCGACAAGTAGTGATGAAGAAAAGGAGGTGTGGAAGTGTGTTATTAATGACCAAATCAGGTACAATAATGATATTCGAATTAACAAAGAAAACATCGAAAAGAGTAAAGAGGGGATGGTGGAGTCTGAATTGTCAAGACAAGAATCTATTCGACAGAGAACACAATCGCTTGCCCTTCCTGGAGGTGTAGAGAAAGCCGAATTGAATCACTCGACTACAAGTGCGTCGTTTAAAATTTTACCAAAGACTCAGAAGGCGTTTAGTATTCAAAATGTCTCCCAAGTTCCGGGGACACTGATTACGAGTGGAAATGTGATCAGCGCCATTATCAAAAATTTGAAGGAGTTTGGAGAGCAAAAAGAAAAGAAGAGTGACGACCAACTCTTTGCTGAAATTGATAATAAAACGATGAGTGAAAAAGACTGCGAGCATTATAAGAGAGTAGTGAAAGAGATGACTGAGTCGGAAAAAGTCCATGTCAGAGGACTTGAAATACTGAAAGACGTCTATTTGACACCAATAACAAAATCGTCAATCGCGGATTCTGTGGCCTTTGCGAAGTCAATAATAGTGCAAGTGGACACGATCATTGGTGTTCATAAGAAGTTTTTGAATATGATGGAAAATGCCGAGACGACTGCGAATAGCGGGGAATTGCCACTTCTTGGTGCCAATTTTACGAAAAATGTTTGTTTTCATTTGAGTTGATAGGAGGAGATGATGGAGAACTTATGAATAGATCCAATTTCTTAAGATGGCAGCCACTTATATTTCGAAGTACTCTGTGTATTTGACTGGACTCACTGATATCATGAATAAAGAGAAAGACGTCGTCAAAATGCAAAATAAGGCGAAACAAGACTACTTGAAAGGGCATGAAGGTGCAAAGGTAGAGATGATATCCTTCTACCTTATAACTCCAATTCAGCGCATTCCGCGATATGAGTTGTTAATCAGAGATATGCTGCGTGATGTTGGAAAGGACTTCCCAGACTTGGAACAACTCAAGAAAGCGTATCTTGATGCGAAGGAGAGTGGAAAGGGCGTCAACCAGACTCGGATGCATATTGAAGAGAATGAAAAGATGAGCATCATCCAGCGGGCGATCTTGAACTTCCCGAACTTTGAGAATTTGTCTTCTCGGAAGTTTATATGTGGAGGTCCTGTATACATCATAGCTAATATGATAGAAAAGCCGACCCAATTGTGCTATATATTCTTGTTCAATGACATGTTAGTGCAAACCAAAGTAGTTAAGATGAATGGGAAGAGTGTGAAAGAAGGGACGGAAGATGCTTTGATGAAGGAGTTGAGTGAAATTACTGATGTTGAAGGTCTGAATAAGATCACGTTTGAATATATCAACGCCTTTTATATCCAAGGGAGCTCGAAGTTGATGCCACAAAATGATACGTTGCAAGTGAGTAACGTTGTGATGTTTATGGCCTTTCAGAAGATGAAAAAAGACGGAGATGAAACGAATCCGTTTATCATGATCAAGTACTCGACGATGACGGAGGATGAGAAAGAGGCGTGGAAAAGTGTGTTGAACGACCAAATATTGTCGATGAAAGAAAAAGAAGAGAAGATGAAGAAGGTCCAAGAGAAGGTGGAAAATACAGTGGAGATCATATCGAGTGCGCCGACAGAGAAAAAGACGCATACGAAATCGTTTGATAAGAGTTGTGTGAAGTATATAGCACATGAAGTGGGCAATTTAGTCCAAAGTTCTGGACCGATAGTGAGTGTTGTTAGAAATCTTCAAGACGAGTATGACCACCCGGAGTTTGACGATGAGAAGTTCTTTAGAGAGATAGAAACGAAGGAAATGAATGAAGAGGATGTGAAACATTTGGGGTCAGTGATACGAGATATGCGGACGAATGAAAACGCACATATGCTGAGTCTGGTCACATTAAAAGAAGTCTATTTCAATTCGATAGTGAAACATGTCAATAAAGATTATTTGAATGTGATCAATGAAGTCATGTCACAAATAGATGTCATGACAAGTACTCACCAAAAGTTCTTATACATGTTTGAGAAGGCGAAAATACTCTTTGAGAAGGGAGAGTTTCCATTGATGGGGGACGACTTCTATAAGAATGTTTGTTACTATTAATAGAACAGAAGTATAGTATAATATAATATATAATATAATATAATAATACTATGAGAATAGAAAATGACTTACAGCTGCAATTTCTAAAGATGGAGATGGCATATGTCACGAATTATAATAATTATCTGAAGATGATGGGAGAACTTGAGAAAGACACTTCTGTTGTTAAACAGTGGAATAAGGCGAAGGAATCATATTCACAAACAATGAAAGAAGAGTCTCATCCATATGAATATTATATGATTCGACCAATTGTCCAAGCGTCGAAATATGAAGCGTACTTGAAAGTCTTATTAAGTGACAGCGGGAATAATAGTGAAGACTCTGTCGACTTGAAACGAGCGTACATTGAGGCAAAACACATTTCTCGGAATGTGAACTCCATGAAAGCACTTGCAGAGGAAGGAACAAAGTTTTTGACAGTGCGTGAGGCGATCATCGGAGATTTCAGCAACGACATGACTGGTGCGAGAAAGTTCTTATGCTCAGGGCCTTTGTTTATTGTTGAGAAAGTGATGGAACCACCAAAGAAATGGATGTACTTCTTTTTGTTCAATGACAGACTTGTAGAGACAATACCTGAGTTGTATGAAGGGAAACCAGTGAAAGATATGTTAGACGCTTTTTCTAAATTACGTGTCATCAAACAAGTCGATGAATTAAAAAGTTGGAAGTTCCGTATTACCAAGGAGTTTGTATTCAATTTGGACGTTGAGTTGGTGAACGTGCAACAGGAAGAGACGGTGTGCAAACATCAAATCGTAATCAAATCCTCACAAATACCTTACAGATTTTCATCTTCAACGCTGTTGGAGTGCGACGTGTGGATTTCACTCATATTTGACCAACTCGAAAAGATCAGGAAAAACGAGAAAGCAAAACTCAAAAGAAGAAACGCAGTCAATCTCGAGAGCGAAAGAAAAATATTTAAAGAAACATTGGGCAGCTTCGACTTGGCAAATCCACCTCCTTTGCCAAAGAAGCCAAGAGCTTTGGATAGTAAGTGATTTTTTTGTATTCATTATTATATCGTTCAATTCTATTTAAATTATTATAATTATATTATAATTATAATTAAATTATTAAAAGAATTAAACAAACAATGTTTTAGTTAATGACAACGTTTATTGGATGGTGACAGTGATCTCGTCATCCTTTGCACCGACCACAATCTTTTTGTTTTCTTTCAAGTCGCCCTTGATGATAGCAACTGAGATGTCTGTGACTATCTTCTTCTCGAGGTATCTTCTCATTGGTCTTGCTCCATACTGTGGCGAGAAGCCGACCGTGATGATCTGATCAACTGCCTTCTCTGTCAACTCGACGTCGCATGTTGGGTAGCTCTTTTTGATTCTTGCGACAATGTCTTTCATCTGCATTTTCACGATCTTTCGCAACTCTTCTTGTCTCAATGGTGTGAAGACTACTATGTCGTCAAGTCTGTTGATGAACTCGGGCTTGAAGAACTTCTTGACGTTGTCGAGCACAGCTTCTTTCACACCACTTTTGAGGTTCCCATCCTTTGTTGTGCCGTTGAGGAGAATGTCGCTGCCGAGATTTGATGTCATGATGATGACTGTGTTCTTGAAGTCAACTGTTCTTCCTCTTCCATCTGTGAGACGCCCGTCATCAAGCACCTGCAGCAACACATTAAACACTTGCTGGTGCGCCTTTTCGACTTCATCGAACAGAACAACGCTGTATGGTCTTCTTCTGACTGCCTCTGTCAATTGTCCACCCTCGTCGTGTCCAACGTATCCCGGTGGCGCTCCAATCAGTCGTGAGACGCTGTGTGACTCCATGTACTCACTCATGTCGATTCTGACAATGTTGTTCTCGTCGTCAAACAGCTGCTCTGCAAGTGCCTTTGCAAGCTCCGTCTTGCCAACACCACTTGGTCCAAGGAACATGAACGACCCAGTCGGTCGCTTGTCTGACCCAAGACCACTTCTGCTTCTCAGAATGGCCTCAGAGACTGCAGTCACGGCCTCGTCCTGCCCAACAACTCTCTTGTGCAGCTCGTCCCCAAGTTTCAGGAGTCTTGTCTTCTCGCTCTGTGTCATTCTGCTCACTGGGATGCCTGTCCATTTGCTCACCACATCTTCTATCAGCTGTGGGGTCACTTGCAACGACAGCATCGATGTCTCTTTTGTCTGGTTCTTCAATTCTGTGAGTCGCTTCTCTGCCTCTGGAATTGCATAATATTTCAAGTCTGCGGCAACCTCAAGATCTCTTGTTGTTTCCGCCTTGTGTTTCATATCTTCTATTTTCTGCGCAAGCGTCTTGAGCTCTTCGCTGCCACCTTTCTCCTTCTCGTAGTTTGCTCTCAGCTTTGTCAACTTGTCAGTGTTGTTTGACAGTTCCTTTGCTATCTCCTCCAGTCGCTTCTTTATGTTTCCCTTCTGGTCCTCTGTTGTCTGCTTCAGCTCTCTCTCAAGTGCTATCTTCTCGACTGTCAGTTGTGTGTCTTTTCTTTCCAAGTTGTCGATCTCCTCAGGCTGCGAGTTCTTCTGTGTGAAGAGTGTTGCACACGCCTCATCAACCAAATCGATTGCCTTGTCTGGCAAAAACCTTGCATTGATGTATCTCTTTGATAGCGATGCAGCTGCAACAAGAGCTGAGTCCATGATTGTCAGTCCGTAGTGGCTCTCATACTTCTCTCTAATGCCTCTCAGGATGTACAGTGTGTCCTCTTCGCTCGGCTCAGCCACATAGACCTGCTGGAATCGCCTCTCAAAGGCAGGGTCTTTCTCAACGTACTTTCTGTATTCTTCAAGTGTTGTTGCTCCAATGCACCGCAACTCCCCTCTCGACAACATTGGCTTCAGGATGTTTGCCGCATCCATTGCACCCTCTCCGGTTGCACCAGCACCCAAGACAGTGTGGATTTCATCAATAAACAGAATGATTGGGATCTTCGACTCTTTCACCTCCTTCAAGACTGCCTTCAGTCGCTCCTCAAACTGTCCTCTGTACTGCGCACCAGCTATCAGCGCACCCATATCAAGTGCAATGACTCTGCACTGCAAGTTCGAAGGAACATCTCCTTTCACTATTCGCTGCGCTAAGCCTTCCACAACCGCCGTCTTTCCAACACCAGGCTCACCAATCAAGACGGGGTTGTTCTTTGTTCGTCGTGACAAAATTCGAATGACTCGCTTGATCTCCTCGTCTCGCCCAATCACTGGGTCCATCTTCCCAGACTCCGCCTGTGCTGTCAAATCGTTGCCATACTTCTTTAGTGCTTCATACTGCGTCTCTGAGTCTTTCGAGTCGACCTTCTGCCCCTTTCTCATCTCAGTCACTTTCTTTGTAAACTCTTTCACATTGATCCCAGACGCACCAACTGCACTCAAAACCTCTTTCTCCTCAACAAGTGACAAGATCACTGTGTCAAGTGCAAGGTACGTATCACCCATCACCTTCTGTTTTTCCATTGCTCGTCGCAAAACTTGTTGTGAGGATGGGTGCAGACCAACTTCAACAGGCGCAGGGTCTTGCACTGGTACTTTCCCAATCTCTTCATTAACTGCATTCTTCATCCTCATCACGTCACCTCCACACATCTGAACCACTCGGACAACAATGTTCTGCTCGTCGTCCAAGATTGCTTGCATCATGTGCATCGGCACTATATACGGCGCCTTTCGCTGAAAAGCGATTTGTTGCGCGTCTTTAAACATTTTTACTGTTGCATCAGTCCATGTATTTGGATCCATTTGATTTCTGACTTCCTAGTTGTCTGCCCCTTTATATATCAGTACCCTCACCTCAAAGCAGACACGTCAACACTCTGTAACCCAATGACGTGGTCTCTTTCCAATATTTAAACTATTCTCTATTACTATATTTACCATAAAATATGGTTGTCGTATAAATAGAAGTGCCACGTGTAAAATATTTTGTTATTGTTACCAAATAATGGTTAATATACTATAATTGTATAATTTCAATTACTTGACGTGGTATCACATTTTTCATTAATTTATTATGTAAACGAAATTGCGTGTTAACCAAAAGTACCAAAATGTCATTGTAATAAGTTGTAAAAATTCACTTTTCAATCAAAAGTTAAACCCAATAAATATACTAAGCCACGTATTCTATATTTTTAATATTTCTCATCAAATATTGTTTTAAAGGTAAAGTCTGTCTAAAAACGTTGTCCATTTGACAAAAATTTACACAAAATAAGTTTAAAAATTTGGGAATTAGAAAAAAAAGTTGAAAACTCGGTAAAAATTATGAAACAATGTTTTGGGAATGTTTCAAATTGTTCCCCGAAATATTTTAGTTTTGATGGTCCAAAAATGCCTAAACAACGTTGGAGAGCGGACAACGTTTTCAGACTGACTATAGTGTGTTAAAAAATCACAATGAATCCAACAATCAATTCATCCAAAAAAGTATTTCATACTTGTTTTTCTTTTTTGTTATAAGAGAGTTAAAATGATAATCAAAAGATGAATTTTTCAGCCTTCAATACAACAAAACACAAAATATGAAAACAATAAAAAGTTATTATATTTGAACAAAAAGTTGAGAATTTCTAGTAAAGCTGTTTATCATAAATAACTCGATTATCAAGTGTTATATTTATATAAATAATAATAAAAAACCTTAAAAAACAGAATTCATGTCTTCGCAAAGTCAATTTGGTCATTCCAATTTTACAAATGCCATAGAAATTCAACAACAACTAGAACGTGAAATCCAACAAAGTTACATCAAGACGCGCACTTTAAATGGCAAAGATACTACATATGTTGAATGGTTTACTATAGTTCAAATGGCAAATAACATTTTTGGAGAAGATGGATGGTCTAACGAGATTACTGAGTGTGTCGTCGACTCTATAACATGTGAAAATGGTATTTATGAAGTGACTTGTACTGTTCAACTTCGTGTATATTTAAAGAATGGGGTAGTAAGGGAAGATGTTGGGTGTGGAATAGGCATCGACAAAGAAAAGGGTAACTCAGTTATCTCCGCCAGAAAGGTTGCAGTCTCTGACGCTTTAAAACGGACACTAAGACTCTTCGGAAACAACTTGGGCAACCACTTCGACCCAATCAAATGAAACTAGTTGTTTATAATTATTTTATTATTAATATACTACTACTTGATTTGGGTTAAAAAAATCAAATCTTTAATTTATATATAGTACAGTTAATCTTTTCTATATTATCTGTACTATATATATTTAGTTTATAATAATATATATGTAAACCATTTAAAGAATAATAAATTTTTATAATAAAATTATAATATGACATTATTATTTTAATTTTCAAAAAAAGTATTTGATTTTTTATAATAAGATTGAAAAACTTTTTTCTCATTTTAGATAACTCTAGTTTAATTATAATAAACAAATTAAAAATCTATAGTAAAAACAAAACGCCTCGAAATGTGACAAGATCTTGAGGAGAAACTGATTAAGCAAACGAATGGAGTATCTGGATTACTTCGACTACAACTTTTTCCTTCGGACACACCCGGAAACATTTACTCGTCGTTTTCCACCACCCAACATGCTAAAATTTACACGTTTAAATAACTATCCCCAATACAAGCGTACTTTATCAATCACACAAGAAGAAAACGTTTTAAGGGCTGTTCGCATTAACACGAATGAGGTGTTAAAACAATTTGACAAATGTGAGTTCAAGACAAACGGAAGGTATTGGCAGATATATTCGGCGATAGAGAGGGGGACGGAGCGCGGCACTGAGAAGAGTGTTATCGTGAAAGTGTCGCGATACCTTTTCAAAAATGAGTACGTCAATGAGATGGAAATCGACGGACTGATTCTCGACAAAGACTTGTTTGCTAAGAACACAAGAATATGGTTTAATGGGATTCTCCATGTTGCAGTGATGGAAGAGTATGAGTACGACTTAATGAATTTCTTATATAACAAAGAACCCACATACGAGCAAATCACCTTTGTGATATCTAACGTTTGTAAAGCACTCAAAATACTTCACTCAATGGGATACGCCCATTTGAATGTCACGCCCGACAATATTTTGTTATCACATGAAGGCTTTGTTCGACTAGGTGGACTCTCGAGAGCAAGACCGTTGTTTCAGAAAATAACGGAAGAACAAGGGCCACCTTCTGATTATAACGAGTTTGAACCCCCTCACCAAGCTCCCGGTATAACACTTGATGTCTATTCCCTTGGTATCTGTCTGTTTGAAATGGACTCTGGACTCAAGTGGCCAGAATATGTTTGTATTCTTCTTATTAACAATTATACCATACATATATAGTATAATTGTATAGTCTAGTTTATATATAGATCATTAATAATTAGCACCCTTTTAAGGTCAACCACTATTTTATACTCAATTCAATGAAAAACAAGGACTTAAGAGAACTGTTCCAACTGATGACATACCCGGGACCAGCGAGATTCTCCCCGGGTGATATTCTGCGCATCAAACCCATCAGAGAGTGTAAGATGAAGAACTTTTACAATGAATGATTTATTTATAATTTAGTTATACTAGAATGAGAGTAGTATATTAATAAGAAAAAGAACTATATATTTATAGTATAAAAAATGGGAAGGGGAAACTAACTTGAAACCAAAAAAAGAGACGATGGACTGAGAAAAGTAAATGGCGGACTACCAAGTCGATAACCTCGATGAAATGATCGATGTCGATAACACCGAAGCGATCATCCAATATTTCAAAAAGAAAAATCCCAAAGAAATTAAAGACGTGATGACAAAGCAAGTCTCCGTTGGGTCACTGTCGCACCCGTTGTCATACTCTATATACAAAAAGAGAAACAAAACGTTCTTGTCACTTCTTGATATCTACACGAAAAATAAGTTGGACATTAACTTGAAGGATGAAAGTGGGTTGACCCCGTTACACTATGCAGTACAAACTAAAGACGTCTTTTTCATTAAAACAGTATTGGGGGTGCCCGGGATCAACGTGTATATTGGAGATAATGATGGCCAAAATCCCTTTGTGTTTTTCTTGCGGTTCCACGATGAGCCGACGGTGAAAGAGTGCATCCACGCTTTTGTGGGAGCGTCTCGAGTCATCTTAAACAACAGAATTCCGTCGGGGAAATATAAAGGGGACTTCCCATTGAATGTTGCATTCCAAAACCCCCATTGTATCGGGTTTCTTCTCGAGACCATTCTGAAGAGTGGCGCGGTGCCCGATGTGACGAACTTCTCGAATGAAGTTCCCCTTCATTTTGCTGTGAATAAGAAGCGTCTTGATTTAGTGTTACTTCTACTCAAATATGGAGCGAACATTAACATCAAAAACGTCTCTGGCAACTCGCCGCTCTCACTTGGATTGAAACAAGAAAACAAGATAGCTGCAGTGATGAGTCTTGTTGATAACATTCACATCAAAATGCGGAAGGAGTACTCCCTCACACTCCAATTTGACTTGCCTCGGTTCATTGGAATTGGGTTGTTTACTGACGTTGGGTATTCCCAAGGGATTCGCAATATGATCGCATCGGGTGGGGATCCAGACGTCGTCAAGCGATTGATGGACTTGATTCAAAAAGCCAAAGCTGATTTCATGGAGACTCGTGAGAGTTTCAACTTGTTGTATTATCGTGAAGAAGAGGACGAGGAGGAGGATGACGAGAAGAAGAAAATAGATGCCAAAGCAATTGAGTTTCTTGGTGAGAACATCTCAAATACGCACAAATTTGGTCTTGGGTTGTATGGGGATGTCATTCGAGCTCGACACAAAAACAAAACTGTTGGGTTAGAGTTCTTGTTAGACTATTCCGTCGAAGATATGAAGAATTTAGAACAAGTCATCAATGAGCACTACGTCCCGCTCAAGCATGACAATATCTTACAACTTTATGGTACAGTATTTGAAGAAGGGAGTTTGTGGGTGATAAGTGAGTATACGGACAGAGGGTGTTTATTTGATTTGTTGCAAGGTCCCAAATTAGACTGGGACATGATGAATCAAATCTGTATTGATATGGCTGAGGGGCTTCTGTTCCTTCAAGAACATGCGATAACACACGGGGGCCTGAATTCAACAAAAGTATTTATGACATTAGACGGGCATGCCAAAATCGGCGAATATGGATGGAAAGGTATTCTACCTCGTAAGACGGACAAGCACTTGATCACCATAGAATTGGCTTTCATGGCGCCAGAACAGTTACAAGACCCCCCAGTCGACAGTCCTGATGCAGACAAATACAGTTATGGGATGATCGTTTGGGAGATCATTCTCCGTCTTATAACAGGCGAGCATGTCATTCCTTATTACTCCGATGAAGAAAATTACACTGCTGAGACGGATCAATCCATCAAAAAGAAGATCATGAGTGGTAACATACCCACTATCGCTACTCGTGAGAACGCTCAAGTATTTACTGCACCTCCACGCCTCGGGAAATTATACAAAAACATTTGTCAGATCAAGCCTGACCTTCGATGGGCTTGGGACAAGATCATAGAGGAGTGGACTCAATTTGAAGATGAAGTCAAAAATGATCCCAAAAAGTGGAAGAATTGTTTGCAAACAGATGGTAATCTGTGTCCCGGTGAATATGCTAATAAGAAGTTTAAATTGACACGTGCTTCAGAGACTGTTATTCAGTAATTTGTTATTCTTTTGCATTTGTTTTAAATAAATGTAGTACCTATTTACAGTTCAATTAAATGTCCTCTTGAACTTCTTTCACTTGAGCATCGATGTATTCTTTGTTGTTTGGAGGGACGGCGTGACGGTCGTATCTTGCCCAATTTTGATTGCGTGTTGGATGTGACTCATCTTTCCAAGTGAGTGTAATGCAATCCCACTGAATGAAACACTCTTGTCTAAAAGTCTTTGGTTCTCTTTCTTTGCAATACAACACAATTCATCATTCTCTTCGAGTTCGTAGCTACTCTTTGTGATCATTTCTATCTTCCCATACCTTTCTTTGACTATTCCCAAACACTTCGTGTCTCTATCCATCAAAAACTCAAAGACTTGATACAAACTAGATCCTACCATTCTCGTTGGGACTTTATACTTCTCAAGTCGGAATTCCTTTGTGATCCCATTGATGTCTTTCCACACTTCTTCGTTGTGATCATATTCACTCATGTTACATATCATTTCTGCAATATTCTTCATACAAAATACACTCGAAAAATGTTCTACATATCTGGCATTGTCCAAGTTGTCTAAATAGCATACCATCCTCACATCTTTCTGTATCTCAAGTGACTCAATTTCAATTTCGTTGATCACTCCTCTCACTTTCTTCGCGTTCACAACAACATCACAGTCGTCTCCTTTCCTTGTATTTGGAAGTATCGTTACACACTCTGCTCTCTTTACATTTGCTCGATAATACAAATTTTTCAAATTTAAATCACCTTCAATAACATACAACTTGGTGATTGCACTCAACTCTTTCCATTCATTTTTCAACTCTCTTTCGTCACCAATTACAATAACAATATCATCTTCAATAACTTCTCTTATTCTTTGAATAAGATAAGAACATCCCTCAAAATATCCAACAAAGACATAGTGATTGCATCCATCGTATTTTTGTATCACCACTTCTTTCATCTTCTTAACTTTCCTCTGTTTGTTTTCGTTTTCTTGAGTCATCCTCTTTGCGTCACTGGTTTCAATTAACTCGAGCTCATCACTGACTACTTCCTGAGTACTTTTTATTTGGGTTTTCAAAGTTAGATACTCTTTGTATCTACTCAACACAAACAATAAGTCTTCATCTTCAATTTTTTCATTTGACCCGAAGTAAAGTATCTTCTCTCTCTTCTTGATACCAACAACAACTACATTCATTTCTCTCAACATTTCCATGGTTAATAAACTTACATTCTTCCCAACAAAAGTGTTGGGCACTTTGAGACTTCTGATTATCTGTATTTCGTTCTTTCTTGTCTTGACTGAAAACAAATTTCCAAGTATCTTCATTATCCCACCACAAAGTATTTCATTTACTAATGTCATCAAATAGTCTTGTTTTGAAATGCACTCGACTCCATAACTCTCAAAGGTCTCTTGTAATGTGTCATTCTCTAACAAGCAAAATATCTTCCCTGTACACTGTTTCTTAATTGATTCCATTCTTAAAAATGTTCTTTTATCCCCACCAAATGTCGTCAGAATAACTCTCTTCGCTTTTTTAGTGTTTGATTGTTTTAGATCGTCTTCGTTGAGTGCGTCTCCACAATAATAGTACCTCTCATACTTCCTTTTACTCATCATCGTTACTTCCGTTTTTGGTAAAAGTGCAACAAAATCGCTCTTGACCTTCTTGGGAAACAATGAAAGCAACATGGGATCTCCTGTATACATAACGTGGTTATTTGCATAAAACAGTTTTGATTGTCCTCTTTCATTCAGTGCAGTGAAGATCTGGCCAAGTTTCAATGGAAAGTAGATAAGAAACGAGAGAATGTAAAGTGCACAAAATAATCTTCCATACCAAGTCTGAGGAGTCATATCACCGTATCCCACTGTTGATATTGTTACTACACAATAATAAAAACAATTGTGGAAATAGTGGTATGGAGAGTCTTCATTGTATCCCTCAAGGAAATGGAAAACAGAAGAAGAAAAATACAACATAGAAATGAGGGACACAAATGTACTGACCAATTTGTCGGCCAAATTGAACAATCTGTTGTTTTCTCCAATCCAGAAATAACAAAGTGCCTCTGATACAAGATAATCCACGTAAATGATTCGTATAAAACATAGAGAATAGACGTGGGAATGATTCTTCCAATTCTTGAACATTGTATCTCCTGTTATCAAATAATACACCAAAGGTATAAATGTCACTATTAGTGTAATAAATGATATTGGCAACATAAAACGTTTAATGTGGAGACTGACAATAAACTCGTACACCCAAGAAAGTAACAAATAGCAATTAACTATTAACTCTGTAAACATTAATAATTTAATTGTCTGAGTTGTCTTATCCATGTAGGTGTCAATAATTGAAAATCCACATAATATCAGATTCATTATGATATCTATTACAATCACTACACCTGTTATGTACGACTTTCTTAGCCAGTTAATAGTCTCTACCACTTTTTCCCTCTTGTTCTTCTTCATTTGAAGTGAAAAAACTCTTTCTTGATGGTCTCGCTTAAATTCATCAAAATCTTTATCAGTCTCTCCACCCTTCGCACCACAAACAATTTGTCTTTCTTTAGAATCCATTCACCTTCTTGTGATTTTCAAGATAAGAACCATTTTCTTTCCTTTGGAATGAATCAAATCTTTTTACTTGCCATTAAAAAGTTTTTTATTTAATTTAAATATAGAATCTATTTTATGGTTTTTAAGGGATTCATGAGGATTGTTAATTTTTCTGAGGATGGTAAATATCTTAAACATAGAGTCATTTGCTAAACGTTGTCTGGTCTGTAACGTTGTCTGCCGATTTTTAGACCATTATAAATGGAATATTTCGGGAATTTTTTTGAAAAACCCCAAAATCGTTTTTTCAATATTTTTCCCAGTTTTTTTTCCTTTTTACCTAATTCCCGTTTTTTTAAAACAAAAATCAATTATTTTTTGTCAAAAAGACAACGTTTGGGGAACAGACAACGTTTATCGAATGACTCTAATTTCTTTATTTTGGATTTTTTTGCCTAAGATCAAAAAGGTATATTTTGAAACACGTGATTTTCTTTAAAAATGCTATTTATGGATTTTTTGAAAGATGATTCTTTCAGTTGATTTTTACAAAAAAATAATCTATTTCTATTTTCTGATTTACCACTAGACTAACCTTGGTCTAAATGAAAACATTTGACAGACATTTAAATTATCGAAATAATCGATTTTTTAATCAAAATCACAAAACAAATTAATCGAACAATTTTTAATCTTTTTTTCACAAAAAAATGCAATTTATTAAAAATCAATTTATGAAATTTCAAACAATAAAAAATTGATAGCAAATAACGTACTGATAATTAATACTTTATGCGATGACAATTGATGTATTTGCGCAAATTCAAAACGCGAGGTTTTGAAGATCGATAAAACAACGATTGATAAATAAACAAATTTGTAAAATTATTGTTTTTGTTATAAACGGGTTTATTTATTTTTTAAAACATATATACACAAGAAATATATGTTTATATTAATATTTTATATAATACAATATTAA